CCTTGTAATAAGTTGGAATCACCGGTTTTTCATCTCCTTCCTCTGATAACTTGATTCCATACTCCACGGGAACATCAACAATCTCGCAGTATTTCATAGAAAATTTCTTCAATACTTCTTTTGCATATTTTTCTTGTAAGACAAAAATTCCATCGGTTTCTTGGTGTACTTGGATGCCAAAAGAATTTCATAAGTCCCAAATCCATCATCCTGAACTTCTTCTCCATAGACTGCTTAAACTCTTTAACTAGGCTGAAAATCAAGTTATGCATTTATAAGCACACAAGTAACATCTTTCACTTGGATTCATTTTCACGTGTAAAGCATGCTCATAGGGGCGTTTTGTGTATCTGAGGCGGGAAAAACATTCATCAGTTCTTGAATTCGATAAAGTGCATTTTTCAATTAAAACTCTTTGTCTTCATAGTCTTCGATGATGAAACCTGGTGGTTGTTCAATGTATACTTCTTCTACAAATTGCCTGTTCAAAAATGTTTATTTTATGTCCATTTGATAAATATTTCACTTCTTTTGTGCTGTAATAGAAATAGATATTCTCACAGTTTCAAGTTGTACCACCGGAGCGAAAAAACTTCATCGTAATCTACTATGTATTTTTGTTTGTACCCCTTTTGCTACCAATTGAGCCTTGTACTTCTCCATTTCTTCTTTTTCACTTTTTTTTTCGTCTTAGAACATCCATTTCACCCCAATTGCTTGCTGTCCATAATGAAGTGTCGGGAGCTCCAAATTATTGTTCTTTTGTATTGCATAGATTTTATATTCCATGGCTTTTCTCCATTTTTCTTCTTTTTGAGAATTTTCAAATTTCATAGGATCAAGATCTATAAAAAGACAAATTAATTAACCCCTCATCAATTGCACGGATAGAAGCATTAATATCCTAGACCCTTTTGGTTTGAATGATCGGGCTGCTGCCTGAATTAACGTTTCTTGGATCATCTCGGGTGTGTTTTGAAAATAGGGATTCAATTTCTCCAGATCTTACTTGTCATTGATTGGTGATTCAAACCCTTCTTCGAGTGGAACTTGAACATATTGGTTTGAACGGTTCTAATTCCATTCTTGCTCGTCGTCGAATTCCACATCTCTTTGCATCAGTACTTTGCGAGTCAAAGGATTGTACAACTTATATCCACTACAATTCTTGGCAAAGCCCAAGAAAATGCACTTTTGGCTTTTATCTTCAAGCTTTGTCCTCATTTCTTCTTGTACTATTGCAAACATTACATTTCCAAAAATTCTTAGATGGTCAACCTTCGGCTTCCACAAGCTCCAAGCCTTTTTGGGAGTGATATTTCCAAGTCTTTTTGTTGAAAACATGTTCAATAAGTACATTGAACATGCAAGAGTGTCACCCCAAAACTCATTGGGAATATTTTTCTCCTTTGACATGCATCAAACCATATTAAAAATTATTCGGTTCTTTCTTTGCAACTATATTTTGTTGTGGTGTTTGTGGCATAATGAGCTGGTGAAAAATCTTATTTTCCTTAAAAATCTATCAAATTCATGGAAGTATATTCGCCTCCTCGATCAGTATATAAACACTTTATTCGACATTCGCTTTTCTTTTCAACAAAATTTTTGAATTCTTTGAACTCTGTAACGATCTCTCTCTTCTACTTCATAAGGTACACCTATATTTTTCCACTGTTATTATCTGAAAAAATATTCAGATTTTTATCTCTATTCTTGGTCATCCTCATGTTGGTAATGAGATATTTATTCTTATCCCGAGCTCAACATCATATCTTCTATCCTTATTTGTATTCCTTCTCGAGTAATTGACCGACACTCAAAAGTTTATGTTTTATTTTTGGAACATAGTAGACTTTACAACTGCTTACTTGTTTTCAATTTTGAAGCTGAAAAGTTATATCGCATTTTTCCTCGATCGGCTTCTGTGAAAGATCTCCATAAGGGTTGAAGCTCCTGTGTCCAGGTACCATGTAATTTCTCCAGTCACATCAGATCTATTCATTTCCATCAGCACCATGGGTCCTTCACTACTTTCTTCCTTATCAACAAGGTTCGTCTTTTCTTCTATGTTGTTGGTGTTGTACCAACACTCTTAGGCATAATGGTCAAACTTTTTGCGCAAGTGATATTATATTCCAGATTTTTCAGTCTTTTATCCTGAACTTTTTTTTATGTCCACGACTTCAGTATCCTTCTTAGCTTTGGTTAGATCCGTGAACAAGATCATCCTTATAAGACATGTTGCTTTTGTTTGTGTGGTATAATTTTCACTTTCGCCACATCACCCTTTTTGTTGTGGAAATCGTCCACGTTGTGGTGCTCTTTTGAATGAATCACTCATTTTTAAATGAGACGGTAGTTTGTACTGCTTGATCCAAGGGCTGCCCACTTTATTTATTTATTATACGTTGTTCGTATCCTTGTAACAAACCAATCAATTCCTCGATCGTCAATGCCTCAAGGTCTTCGGATTCTTCAATGACAACAACTACAAAATTGTATTTCGAATCCAATGACCTCAAGATCTTTTAGATTACATGAACATTACTGACCTCTTCACCATTTTGTCTCATTTGATGAACGGTGGAAATAGACCGAGGGAAATAATCATAAATATTCTTTGAATTATTGACACAGATCTTTGAATTGGGCTCGCAAAGATTGAAGATGTGTACGTGCCTTCTTTACTTTATCATCAACTCCAGCGTGTGCTTTCTTCAATATTTCCCAAGCTTTATGTGATGTTGTTACTGTTTCTATCAGTTCGAATGTGGCTTCATCAACGCCTTCATATATTGTGGACAAGGCCTTTTTCTCATTCTTCAATTCTCTTAGTTCTTATTCGTCTTTTTCCATCTCCGTTAGTGTATCGTAATCAATTTCCACGATGTCCCAAACATCAAGTGAACCCAATAGAGCTTTCATCTGTATACTCTACATCCGATAGCTGTCTTTGGTTAATTTAGGTACTTGAGATTGAATGCAACTAGCCGATGCCATTTTAAAACAGTCTCATTCTATTGAAAATCATTTCCTTTCTAGCTGGAAGCTCCATACATTGAATCACCTTGCTATTGGGATGTCAAGCCAATATTTTTAATGGATAAATGATTGAGAGTGGCTCCAATACCAAATTTTGTTGAAATAAAACTATATTTTGATTGAAAGTGGATGAAGTAGATGAAGAATAAGAGCACACGTTTTGCTTGGAATCTTTTTACTTGTTTCATCACACAAGACTCAAAGGAGTACATACACAATTTATACATCTCACATACACCTTCCAAATACACTTATTTAATTTAGTCTTGATTCTCAATTCACCATAATAACACCAATAAACTCATTATTTTCCAACAAGTAAACAATTAGACACAATTTTAGATGCACTAGTCAATGTGACACAAATTTTGATATCATTGTAGAGATGAAATGACATAGTTGAGGTTAAAAAGACAAGAATATAACGGGAAGCTATTGAGTGGAGCCTTCGGATTGGGAAGAATATACGACAACTATCCTTGACGGCACAATGTGCAAAGCTACTGGACAAAGAGAAGAGAAAAGAAATTAAATAAAGAACTGTACATTCTTAGTAAGGTATATTTGTACCTTCAATAATGTAATTTTGCATTACATTTGCAATATGGGCGTGTTGGGGTGCAAACCCAAGTCCCACATCAGAAGTTGTGAAGAAAATTGCACACCTTATAAGTCCCAAGTGAACTCCACTAGTACGAGGCCTTTTGGAGGATATCCAAAAACAAAATCCGTGCAGGCTCAGCCAAAGCGGACAATATCATACTAGTGTTGAGTTGACCCAGTCCCAACAGTGGTATTAGAGCCCGGTTAGATGGTGAAGTGGACTGGGTGGCATTGGACATTGGTTGTGGTGGTGGGCTCACCCTCGTGACCTGCGGATGTGCCTTATGTCGAAAGTCTTCTGGCGGTGTTGGGTCGGTCTCCATTGAAGTGGTCAGACAGCGGGTCCCTTTGTGCTAGGCGGTAAAAGCTGGGCAGAAGGTCCTTGGTTTGAGGGAATGATTGTTGGGGTGCAAACCCAAGTCCCACATCGAAAGTTGTGAAGAAAATTGCATACCTTATAAGTCCCAAGTGAACTCCACTAGTATGAGGCCTTTTGGAGGATATCCAAAAACAAAATCTGTGCGTGCTCAGTCCAAAACGGACAATATCATACTAGTGTTGAGTTGACCCAATCCCGACAGGGTTCTTATGGAACAATCATGGTTAAGCAATGAGAACATGAATTAGACTCAATTTCTGATATAATCCAAGTAGGTTTTATGTCGTTTTGTAGTTAAAAAGACTACTTTTTTTAATTTTCTTTGTATTTTATAAAATGAATGAGAACGGATTTGGATAAATGAGATAGTAATATTGCATTGAATTATTAAATTTTTTTAACTAAATAGAATATATATTATATATTTTGTTTGAATATAGGTATATTTTATATTTTTTATCTTATTAATTAAGAAATGTGGCAAATTAAAAAACACTCCCCGGAGATTTATTTATTTTTATATTATATTTTATTTATATAGTAAATGTTATCATTGAAAACAACATCAAATATCTTATTGGGAAATTCTCTTATTTAATATCTATGCATGAGATTTACTAATTTATTTAAACACAATCAAGAAGATTTTTATAAGAGAATCGTGTTTTAAATAATATAAATATTTGTTTATATATATAGGTTGTGTTTGGTTTGAATGATTTTGTTCTCAATAATCAATATATTTATATTTTTTAATGTTAATATATATATATATATATATATGATTTCTTCTTATAAATGTTATCACAAATTCAAACCATAAATTATTGCTATTATTATAATTATTAAGGTTGATTCGTTTTATTATTCCAGTTTCCTCCTAAAAATATTTGTTGCACATATCCAAATTAACGTTGGGTGTGTTGTGTTGTTTATTGAGCTGAAAAGAAACGCATGCAAATGAAATGATCCGATGAGCTCTTCTTCTTCCCGAAACACAGGCAACGGTACCACTTCCTTCTCCGCCACTCTCCTCCACCACCACCACCGCCATGGCGACTCCCAATCCCAAGCCGCCCTCCTCCCGCCCTCCTCCTCTACAGCAGCTCCCTCACCAACGTCTCCCAAGGCCGCCCCCGAATCTCCCGAGCGAAACAGTACCGTCCTCCTCCACTCGGTGGAGATCGAGGCCCCCTCCTCGTCGCCGGGCCTCTCAGTACCCCCATTCTCCTGGAAGAAGCTCTGGAAATTCACGGGGCCCGGGTTCCTGATGAGCGTTGCGTTCCTCGATCCGGGCAATCTCGAAGGCGATCTCCAGGCGGGTGCAATCGCGGGCTATTCGCTGCTCTGGCTCTTGATGTGGGCGACGCTCATGGGGCTTTTGATCCAGCTCCTCTCTCTCAGGCTGGGCGTCGCCACTGGCCGCCACATGGCCGAGATTTGCCGGGAGGAGTACCCTAATTGGGCGGCGCTCATGCTCTGGTTCATGGCCGAGCTCGCGCTCATCGCCGCCGACATTCAGGAAGTCATCGGCAGCGCCATTGCCATCAAGATTTTGAGCAATGGAGCATTGCCGCTTTGGGCCGGCGTCCTCATCACCGCCTTCGATTGGTTGTTAATTATGCTTTAATTTTCCTATTTGATTTTCTTGCTTTTCACTCCCATTCTCGTTCTCATTTTGTCTTCTGTGATTTTGAGCTATTTGGGCATTTTAGAAATGATTTCTTATGTTATCTGAGGGAATGGAGAAGAAGCACAATTGGTGTGATTGAAGGCCATTAATTAGTAAATTTTACAACATCATCTTTTGTTTTTTCGTTTGGGGTTCCTAATTTATGCACGTGTCTTGATTCTTTCTAACTTATGCATCGTGTGATTAGAAATGGGAGTTGTTGCCTTATTCTTAATGTGTGGCATTAATGATTTTGAAGATTAGATTCATCTGGAATGCTCTTAATGTTATGATTTCAAGAATCAGTAAATTTCACTGCTGTTTTGCTCTAACAATCGAAGCCTACTGCTGGAATACAATTCCATGATCTTGCAGTCGCATCAATGAACTTGGATACGATGAACATTTATAAGTGTTCTTGATGCCAAGTGATCGATGCCCTTAAGGCCTCCCTAGCAAAATCTTGCTTTATCCTTTATGTTATATATGATTTGTAGTTTTAGGACTACAACTATTGCATCATATCCATGTTTCTCGTTTTTTTGAATAGAAGTCCTGCCATTGCCATTTTCGCATTCCGAATTAATGAAGGGAAATATTTTCTGTCGACAGCTTCATCTTCTTGTTTCTTGAGAACTATGGAATCAGAACACTAGAAGCCTTCTTTGGTGTTCTTATTACAAGTATGGCCATTGCATTCGCCTGGATGTTTTTCGACACAAATCCTAGCGGAAAGGAGGTTATAGACGGTATATTGTTTCCATCACCTCTCACCAACCCTTTATGTTATATATGTTTTTTCGCAAATGCACAATTGAGCTCCTCGTCATTGAAAAAAAAAATGAAAAACTCCTGAGTTTTTGGATACAGTTCATGAATAGAATTCTAACATGCTGCAGGGCTGTTGGTACCTCGGCTAAGTTCCAAGACTCTCCAAAAGGCTATCGGAGTTGTCGGTTGTGTAATAACTCCTTACAATGTCTTCCTATATTCAGCTCTAGTCCAGTCGCGAAAAGTGGACACGAAGAAGAAAGGGAGAGTACAGGAGGCGCTAAATTATTACACAATCGAGTCCTTCATAGCCGTTTTTGTATCACTGGCAATCAACTTGTTTGTGACAACCGTATTCGCAAAAGGGTTCTACGGGACAGCACAGGCTGACAGCATCGGGCTAGTGAATGCCGGAGAATACCTGGAGCAGAGATATGGCGGGGGATTTCTTCCGATTCTATACATTTGGGGAATCGGTCTTCTTGCAGCCGGACAGAGCAGCACCATCACGGGCACTTACGCCGGGCAGTTTATAATGAGCGGCTTCCTTAACATGCAGATTAAGAAATGGCTGAGATCGTTGATCACGCGAAGCTGCGCCATTCTACCCACAATCTTGGTGGCTATGATCTTCAACCGATCTGAAGAGTTGCTTGATGTACTTAATGAATGGCTTAATGTTCTTCAGGCAATGCAGATACCGTTTGCAGTTGTCCCTCTCCTCCATTTGGTGTCGAGCGAGCACATCATGGGCAGCTTCGTAATCGGAACTACTCTAGAGGTAATGCATTTTCTTTGTTCTGATGTGTTTTTTCGAACCCTTCTTTGTGTTTGAAATATAGAATGATTGATAGAAGCCTATGACTTTATCAAAATCGAAATTGAATTCATATAAATGGTTACAACTGAGTTTTGCCTCCGTTGTACAAATTTTTGGAGTGAATTACATTATATATTCATATAGTTTGAAAATTACATGAGATCTATATATGCTTTCCGTGCAACTGAGATGAACAGTTCGATTTACCTGTAAGTATAATTTCAATTGTAGCCTTACACAAAGTTTTGCAAACATATATGTATTCATATAAAAGTACTATATTAACTTTTTAGTAAATTGTAGAGTTCGTTTTATTTATTTATTTATTTGTTTTAGCTTTTTTATTTTGGTAATAGTTTGAAAGAGATGATTTTAAGAGAGAATAATATATTTATACTGGGAATCGCAATAATTGCATACTAAAATATAAAAAACTGAAATAAAACTCCAAAAGAACATACCATAGTTTTAAATGTTTCGAAAAGGATTTTTGTTGTGGTAAAATACATTCATCCACAATGGCTAATTTCAAGCTTATGGCTTTTTTCTTTATTTTTCTTAGAGGATTTCATGGGGTGTAGCCGCGATCGTGATACTGATAAATGGATACGTTCTAGTGGACTTCCTCGTGTCGGATGTCCACGGATTGCTTGTTGGCAGCGTAGCTTTCATTCTCGGAGGCTTGTACGCAGCATTCCTCGCATATCTTATATTCGTCGGCAGGAAACGAGCGGATGGATTTTCGGTTCTCGGAACATAAGACCATCTCAAATGCTGGATGAAGAAGCTCAGATCTTTCTGCAAGCCTTGAGTTAAGTTCATACCATTTTGTAGATTGCTCTAAAATTGTTGTTATACATTGTAGAATTTTTGTATTGCCATTTTTTTGTAAGCCTAGAATGTTTTTGGTAAATACAAGATTTAATTTATTGATATTATTACTCCCTCAGTCCCAGAAAATATGAGACTATTATTATAGATAAAAGTATAATTAGTAACTAATTAAAAAGTGTATTAGTAAAAATAATTATAAATTAAGATTAAGATAAGTAAATAATTTAATTAAAATTAAGAAAATTATAAAATTTAAAATTTAAAATGTGATTAAAGTGCATAATTATATTTCCAAACATAATTATGTGGGACGACGGAGTATTATTTTTAAAAATATGAAATACTTATTTCACCTAAAAATTTATATTATATTAAATAATAATTGTTTCATTTAAAAGTTTAAAATTAAAAATATATATATTTATTTATAGAAACAATTTAAAATATATTGAAACTAAATAATGAAAGAACAAAGTTTATTTCTTTTATCTTAAATATCAAGTTTCTAATGTTTGAATTGTGAATTTCTCAAAAAAAAAATATATATATATATATATATAATTTTTTATCTCACAAAATATATCATCATTTTAATATCAAATTCAAATCAAATTTTGCAAACTACCAAGTTATATAAGAAATTTATTAAAGATCAATTAACAACAAATATTAACGAAACAAATTTATATATATATATATCATTAATTTTAATAATATAATATAAAAAATAATAGTACTCCTTCCATTCAATATAAATATAAATCAATTTATTTTTTAGAAATATTTAAAATTCTTTTTTTTTTTTATAAAATTAATTTAATATTAATTATAAATAAATAAAATATTCTTTTGTATATTTTATTGATAAAAATATTTAAAATATTAATTATATAAAAAATAATAAAATAATATTATAATAGTAGATCATTGGGACGAATGTTTAAACAGAAATTAATAATTTAAATCACGAATAAAACGTAACACCCAATCAGAATCTTGTAAGTCACCGAAGCACACCAACGTAGTCTGAAAAGTAATTAAAGCCAACAGAGAGAAAATCTAGAACGGGATAATTTTGAAATTTTCTTGGCACACACGCTTTTGGAAAATTCTCTGAATCTGAATGGAGCTTCTCTTCCCTTCTACAAAAATCTACCCCCGACCCGATCCACCTTCTGTGCAATTCAGTTCAAGAATTCTTCCTTCCAACAATGGGGACGATATACAGCTGCCGAGAGTGCTGCGCAAATCTGAATCTCCACGAATCCACCCTCTTCCCGCCGGACTTCTACTTCGAGGCCGGCAACAAGAACACACTCTCCTTCTCCGCAATCGATTCCTCCAAATTCAGGTTCGAGAAAGAAGACAAAATCAGGCCCTTCTTCGAGACCCTTAATTACTGGGGCATCCAGAGGAAACGCACCAAGATCAAGTGCAACACCTGCGGGAAGCTTGTGGGATACATTTACGACGACGGCCCGCCGTTGACCAATGGCATCGGGCAGTACGGGTTCGGGCCGAGCCAGGCCGTTCCTAGAAACCCTAGGTACAGATTCAAGATCAAGGCCCTGACTACTAACCCTCAGGCTTGATTATGAGTTTTTTTTTTTTTTTGGAGCTTTTTCGCAATGTAGATTTTATTGTGTGCCTGTTGATGAAATTTGTGTTTACTTATCTCTGAATAGTTTCTGATTGAAATTTCTGTACACAAAGCATATATGTGTGTGTGTCATGACTGAAATCTGTCCCTGCACTTCTATCAGGGCATGTTTCTTTCATGTTTATAATAGGACCAATTTGTACCATTGTTTTATATTAGTTTGGTAGAGATAATCTAAAACATTAGTCCATCAACACTTGGTTTATTTTTCTGTTTTTCATCTCACTCTAGTAAATTAAAGTGAATATGTGATTAAGGGGTCGATTTGGTGACTTATTGTAAGCATGGCATGAAGTGCTTTGTGTTCGAACTTTTTGTGTATTTGCATTCCCATTTAATTTCAAGAACTCTCTAGAGTTGATCTGGAACCATTATTTGTGCACCCTACCTTGCCCATATTTATTTGAATTTGGTTGATTTATTCCAATCAACCAGAGTCACAGTTGGAATATAAAGGTATTCTGAAACTAAATATTTTGTAATTGTTCTTAAAGAATTTGTCTTTGAGATTTTGGATTTAAAAACGTTCATTGGATTCACAACTTTTTTTACACATGCATTTAAATATGTTGCCTGCTCTATGCGGGAATGGAGTTTCTGATTCGGAATTAAGAAATCATTGCTCTGCGGAACGGGCTGAGCTCCACCTGCTATGATCGTTGGTACCTCCTGAAGGAACTTCCAAATTCCTCTCAGGCCCACCACCGGAATCGGCTCTGTCACCAAGTCCGATTTACCGAGCTGTTGGGAATCCTGTTCAGAAGCTTTTCCCGCGGCTAATCTTTGATTCCAGCGAAAAACCTTGCCGAGTCTATCCAGCTCATTTCAATGCAGTCTTCTGTGGCCAGGCTGAGTTCCAGAAACTGCTCCTCCATTATCGATGGAAGCTCTCGTATTCCGTGAAGAAACAGGATTGTGAAAGAGGCTGCAATAGTCCGGCTAGCGCCGGTTGCCGGAGGTGGGAGGCTGGTCAGGAAAAGCCGGAGGAGAAGCTCAGCAAAGTGACAAACAATAGGCTGAACAATCGAGAATGAACTATTATTTAATGACCGGTTCGACTAAGATGATCTACGTTTGAAAAGGCCAAATGAAGCATTTACATTAGTAATAACTGAGAGAATGAAAGTCTTAGCCCCCGACCCAAAATAGGCCAAACAGTCAAGAATTGACTATGATTTAGCCCATACAGTATAAATGGGGGCATTGCCCCCAAACCTCCACCGGGGGGCCATGCTTTGCCATTGGACCCTCAAATCAGGATGTTGCTCCAGGACCTTATTCGCTGACCAGTCAACGAGACTTTCACAAAATCAGGTCGATAATGGTATTAGATTTTGTGCTTGTAATAGAGACGCAAAAGATGCGTTTTTTGGGGTGTAAATGATGCCCTGATCAGATGATTGATGTTTCGAGGCATTTAAGGGTGTTTACTCGTAAGGTTTTAGTTTTTTATTTTGATTTTGAATAGTAAAAATTTGAATTGAAATAGTTGTTTGATGTGATATAAATATACGTTGATGTTGATGTGATGTTTTGAATGTAAAATTAGATTTTAGTTTAATAAAATAAATAAAAATTGAGTGTTTAATTTGATGTTTTTTTAGGGAAAAAAAAAATTGAAATAGTAAAATCAGGCGTAAACTTGACAAGTAAACACACCCACAGTGATGACGACCAGTTGAAGAAAGCAGAAGACATTTGCAAGAAACAATATGATGATTAATGTAGGAAGAAGAAGACGAAGAGGATGGTAAGACATTTTGTAGGTAATGAAAAGTGAAGAAACCAAACCCTCGTATTTATGAAAATTCTTCGTAGGGGGATGGATATAAACTACGGTTTAATTTTCTGAGATGTAGTACTTATTAATTGATTTCTTATTTGAGTTTTTCAAGGATTAGCTGGTATTTGATTTCTGGAACGTGTTGAGATAAGATCATTTGCATATATTTTATTTATAGGCAACATCAATAATGGTCTCAATTACATATATATATATATATATATTTTTTTTTTCTTTTTCTGTAAGTTGAGAATTCGCAATCATTATTCAACGAGTATGCTTTGAATAAAATTTCAGTCAAATTTAATAGTTTACAAACTTTATTTAATCATTTACGTAGTTCACTAATAACGTTGGCTTCATCCACGAGCAGAAACGAAAAACAAATTTATTTATAATGACTAGACTACATATTACAGATTTTGTATCACTAAATCTCTTTAAATAAACTAAAAGAATACATAAGGCGGGCTCAGTCCAATACCAGCTCTAAAATCTAATACTGCATACCATTGGTCGGGGGCCACTCCACGCCCCCGGATCCAGGCAAGGGGGATTTCGCCCCAGTAAACCCCCCGACTCGCTGACCGATCAGCGAGACTTCCATAAAAACTCAGCGAAGTTACAAACTTGATTCCATATCAACACAAACTTACCCTTACATCCATATTATATATAGTTTGAATCTTTTTAAGCCAAGAAAAATAGTATTTTGCTTGTATTGGAAATATGGACTAGATCACGATATGCCATCACATCTCTTATATACTACTTTTGTCATTAAAATATATATCTGTTTGACCGTAGAAGAATTTTAAGAATATTAAATAGAAAGAGAAAGTTTTTTATTTTATAATAAATAAAAATAAAAATAAAAAGTAATTTATTTTTATTTTTATTTTTTTGATTGGTTATGGTAGAAATGTAGGCTGTATATAATAATTGTTGTATATGTATATATTTCAATTGTTTAGTTCATATATATATATATATATATATGGTATAATTACAGTTCATCGTTGTATAGATATATTTTAATTGTTTGGTTCATATGTATATATATATATATAGTATAATCACAGTTCATCAAAGATAAACTTCTAAATTATCAAAAAAATTTAAAAAATCCTCAATTTTTTTTTTTTTCTAAAACTCTCTCTACATATATTTCATTCAACTTTAAAATTTTATTTTTTCCCTCTTACATAATATTTATTACAAAATTACCAAATTAATTTAAATTTTAACCCGCTTCACTGTTCTCAACCCTAACTGTATTTGTAGATCTCGTTTTGGAATCTTTCACTGTTCTCAAGTTTTGATCGTGTTTTCTGCAATGTTTGGTAAAATTTTGTGTGCTTGTTGAATAGAATACATATATAACGTTAAAAGTTTTCAATTTGTTGAATACATATTTTCTTATATTTATAGAAAATATATCGAAAAAAAAAAAATAGTAATAATACTACAATTTTATCTTGATGCTCCGTCACATGCTTCTTATCAATTGTATCAAAATTAGAACAATTAATGACACTGGATCATCGAACTGCAATTGCCTCGACTTTATTCCTATATTTTTTTGCAAATACCTTTCAGTATCGTTGATTGGGAACTAATAGAGGCAATTGTAGATTATTATAGTATTCAATCTAAATGATTTTATATACATGAGGGTGCTTTTATTATTTTTTTTTGGAGAATAAATTTTCTATAGTCATCTAGTTACATTGTAAAGGCCAAATTTTTGTATAATGAATTGTTGCATAAATTGTACTATCTCGACTAGTCATTCTCAAACCAGTTCCTGTGTTTTTGCGCCAACAAACAATAAGATCAATGGAATGTGTAATTTGCTTGTGTTTGTGGACTGAATGCTATATATACAACACCGAAGACATGAAAAAAATCAAAAAAATAATTGTTGATGATTATCGGATAGTCATTGCAAAAAATGGTCTGAGTGTAACCAAGTTTTTTTGTAGTGCTAAATTATGTGCATTGGTGGTGTACATTATATCTTGTAAATACTTTATTTTCGTTGTTTAAATGTTAAACCTAAAATTCTTATCGCCTTCAATTGTGTTTCAATTTAGTTCAGTAGTGGCTACTAATATGTCTGGGCTTGCCATAATTGTGACAGTTCATAAAAAATTTAGACTTTTTCTTTTTGCTCTCATCATCTTTGGTTAGTCATTTTATTTTTTTTCAAGGGGCTGGCTCACTCCCCTAGATTGGCCTTATAATCAAAGATCTTTCTCCTTCAGGATATTCTCTTCAACGTCGAGTTTGACACCTAGGTCCTTAAGCGACATTACATTTCGCTAATATTTAAGGTAGTTCTTAAAGTTCCTTTACGAAGGAGGCAATTTTTCAATAACTACTGCCATATTAAAGGGATCGGGAAGCAACCTCCCTTGAGCTTGGATATTGTGTAACAAAAGTTGAAAATTTTGTACTTGTTCCACAACCGAACATTCATCGACCATTCGGTATGACATAAATTTCGATGCCACATTTTTTTTTATACCAACATCCTAAATTTTTATAATTTTTTGCGAGCTGTTGCCATAGCTTTTCATCCTACTTTACATATTGCTATACTTAGTACAAGGAATCATATTTAAACACAAAATAAAGAGCATTTTTTCTGGCATCCACTATAAGAAAATATCAATTTTAATTTTGTAACAAGGTTTTTTCGTTATTTAATCTATTTTTTTCGTTACTAATAATATTAGAGACGGAATTATGGATGGAATTACGTTAGCTACGTGAACTTTAAGGATGGAATTCCGTTACAAATATACTACTCCCTCCGTCCCACATACCATGTCCACGTTGCCGTTTCTGTCCGTCCCACGTACCATGTCACTCTTCTTTTTTGGAAAATGATTACACACTTTAATCTCATTTTAAAATTTTTAATTTATTTTTTTTAAATTTTAATTAAACTAATTAGTTATCTTAATCTTAATTTATAATTATTTATATTATAGGATAATTATTTTCACTAATACATTTTTAATTATCTACTAATTACACTCCTCCTAAAATATCGTGTCTACAATGTAGCAGATACGGTATGTGAGACGGAGGGAGTATTTTTTTGTAGTGATCCATCAGGAGTTCTTACAACAGGTAGTGGTCTAGACTTAGGCCAATAGATAGAATAACATCTTTAATTCCAAGTCTTGAAATCCGTTCCGTTGAATTTCAGTGGCTTCTCCGGTACGATGGGAGGTGCCATTCTTTGTCTCATGAACATCTGGCTCTAGATAGCTAGGAACAAATATGATAATACTAGCATCAAAGGCAACAAAGTGAAGGGAAAACTAGCGGCGGCAGCATTCAGCAAGGCGGGTATTCTTTTGCGATGTGGCTTGATCATTTGCAGATGTTGTAGAATGATGCATTTTGGGTTTGTCCTCTTTCTTTAGCACTTTATCCTCATCCTGAAAGTTTCCACCAGCACGAGATTGGTTTGACTTAGACTTTGTATTATCTTCTTGGTTGCCCAATATTAGCTTTTGATTGGAAAGCACTCTCGATAAATTTTTCAAAACATCTTGAACGTCTTTCTTCAAATATTTTTGGAGATGCCAATCTTGCTTTGACTCTGAGTGTCAAGAGATCCTTTGTTTGCTCAATAACATACATGATCAATTTGAACTCTTCGGGAAGAAAATATCTTCTCCACTACCCTTTTATCGGAAATCTCTTCCCCCATGCGAATTCATTTGGTTGACATAATCGATGAACCTCATCAAGAAATCTTTCACTGTCTTATTTCCATTCATGGTGATGTTTTGAATTCCTTTCATAGTGTCTGCAGCTTAATTGTTCGGACTTTAGGTTCTCTTTGGAATTCATCCTTGAGAATTTTCCATGCTTTCTCATGATTCTCGAAAAAATACTTTTCGTAAGTGCTTTTTGAATTGCCGAAAGAGTGCCAACATTGGTTTGTCTAATCTACTCCAATTTCTTTGCAGTGTACTCGCTTAGCCCTTCTACTCCAGCTAGTTCTTAAAACCCATTATTTACAATTTCTCAAAGATTAAGTGATCGGAAGATGGTCTTCGAGAGACTTTCCTGGGAGTTATCTATCTTCAAATTATTCTAAAACAAACACGCTTAACTGTAGGGCGTTAAGTGCTAAGCCCCTCAACAGTCAGGTTAACAATTATGGGTTATCGCAGGTCGGCTATGATACTTACTGTGACACTCCAGCCCGTAAGTCACGCAAGACCGAACATGTCGGGATAGACTTGCCCCAAAGGTCAATATGCGTCATCTCAACGCACTTTGTCCTTACACGCTGTGATACCCTCGGAGTTGGGTCATTGTTTGGCCAACTCCAGTGTGTGATGAGTTGGTATTAGGCCATCGGAAGTTGATTATAGGTTAAATGGATTGAATAAATTACTTATGTTCCTTTTTAAAAGCCCTACTGAAAGACCTTTAGACTTAAGCGTATTACACTAGAGTAATTAGAGGATGGGTGACCCTCTGGGAAGTCTCCGAGGGTGCGCGTGAGTGACGATAGAAGCACGCTGGATGGATTCGTGTTGACCAGTGGGGCTAGTCTACAATCCCGACACGTCCGGCGTTGCATGACCTGCGGGTCAGGATGTCACACACACGCACCGTGTGAGGCTTTTCAGGTAACTCTATAAGCTCTCGAAAAATAAAATATTCATATTGTTGACATGAGTACGAGAGTGTACAAAAATATATGATTAAACAAATGAAATTATAAGGTGAAAAAGTAATCTTCCGACTATTATTGCAGTGCACTATTGTTGACAAATGATCAAATCATCCTATAAAAGGTACTTTCTTGTTTTTCTGCATTCTAAACTTTTAACAATATCTAATGTAAGTGGATAATTTCGAATTATAGTAAAATATTGATCAGTGAATACAAAATTTAAACATAAAGTGTACAACGATCATAATTTAATGAAATTGAATATAATAGATTGCACCAAGTTCTTGGTGCAAGTCACTGTCTTTGACAAATTAGAAGCCATCTTTTGGTTTGTCTGGGTTCTACATTTTTTTTCGAAAGGCTGTCTGCATTCTACACACACATATATATATATATATATATATATTAATGGCTGAAAAGATAATGCTAACAGGATCTTGTCCAGTTTTTAGGTTCTACAAAATAAAACACTATTTTAGGGTTTTAAGTTGAGGCTCACCTAATTAACTTTCTTTTATTGACTAAACAAAAGCTGAGATGATTAAGAGGAAAAAAACATCAATGAATTAATTATCATCTAATAGCATTGGGTGGGTGCGCGTGTGCATGTATTGGGTGAAATTCCCGGCAGAAGTATTACCGTGTGCGTGTGTGGGTAAAAAAAATAAAAACTTGAGCATCATATATGACAAAAATCTTTAAATAAAATTGCATATTATAACAATAATCTTCATACCACAGCCATGTCCTGAGGGAAGTAAAGTTATTTGCATTGTACTGTCCATATTTATTCCTATCTTCCATTATCCCTTTCCAGCCTTTTCCTCACACTGCCATTTATGTCTGCAAAAGGTTCTTCTAGAATGGTCGACAGGCCTGGAAAAAAGAGTTCAATCTGAAGAAGATTACATTAATTTCTACATGTGATAACATTCATCTGATATGTTCACAAGGGTTATGTCACTGATCACCTGATATATAGCTCTTGCTTTGCACTTGAATTCTAAATGTTTCTCGATCCCTCGAATTCTGATTAGTGCTTATACTTCTGCAGTAGTCATCTGCTTCTTTAGGGTCCTCATGATGATCATTCTTCATTGCTTTTAGCTGAGCATCTCTAAAGATCCATGTCGCGTTCATCTGTTTGTTGATCATTCGAACCGCGTAGTATGGCAGCTTTACGCCATGAGGCGAAGCCTTAGATTTGATGCAGGCACTGATGAACATTATGCAGTCCATCAAGCTCTCTTTAGCCATTCCTTTCATGTCGTAGGCCTGCGATCTCGTCCACAGGCTCGCAAGATTAGCATTTGGAGGGGCTGTAAGGCAAAGAGCTCGTGTGGCGTCTCTGATTGCAGCATCTGGATTTAGTAGCAGCAAGTGTCCCTTTGCTCTTTTGCTGTATAAGATGAGCCTTTCATTTCTATACCTTAATGGACAAATTTGTAAAGCTTCAGTATACTTCATAACTGCATTTTCTGTCTCTCCTGTCGAAAGTCTGAAGTTTCCCTCTTGCTTTATCAGTCTAGCAATGGTCCTTATCCTTTCGAATTCATCGCCCGACATAACTTTCTCCATCCGTCTTCTTTCTACCTTAAACTCCCAAATTTCTTCAAGTGTTCTTCGGACATCAACATCCTTAACTTTCGAGGTTTGATGTTCATAATACTCGTACAAAAGTGCTCTTGTGATCTCTTCTCCAACATTTCTCCTACTTCCAAGACTCTCAAGCTCGATCAGATCAGCCAGGTATGGGGCAGTAACTTCGATTATGCTATATCTTGTTACCCGATCCTTGAGCATCAATAAAAGACAATCGATTCCTACATACTGCCAATCATCCGAAGATCGCGCCAGCTTGCATAAGTTTTCAACAACATGGTTGGATCGCGCGACGCTTATCCTTCCAACCTTAGTGTAACATAGGATTCGAATCAGCCCGGCTCCTGCAGGAGACGAATGGTTCATCAGCCCGCCCCACATCCCGGACAAATCCTCCAAGAAATCTTGATTACAAAGGAGGTTAAAGCATCTTCCCTTTACAGCAAAGCAGCTGAGAAGATGTATGCTCCAGCATTGTATCTGGCTGGCCCATTCCTCCGCCTTTCGATTCTCCATCTGGACCCCGCCGACGCCTCTAGTCAGCAACTCACAGTGATATGTTGGCCGCGCCCTCCGGTTCTCCACTCCCACAAACATCCTATACACCTCATCAAAACACGTGGTCGCGGCGCGCATTGCTAATTTAACCAATTCATCTTCATACGCCGCAATCGCCTCAAATGTCTCTTCATAGCTCGCCAAATGGCCTAGAGCTCGAACCGCAACCCTTTGCTCCACCCAACTCATCTTCCCTCTCAAGAGCTCCAAAAGATACGGTACAACACCCGAATCGACAGCCCTCGAGGCAAACTTGGATTTGTTCATTGTATACGAGCCGATGATGTGAGCAGCATAGTAAGGGATATAGATGTTTTGACATGAAAGAAGCCAAGCCCTGTCACGAATGGCCTTGTCCATCAAACTTGATAGGCATTCGAAGACACCGAGCAACGGAAGTTCTTCATCGTCCGGTCGAGTCATAGCAATGTTCCACAAACCACTGATGACTAAAATTAGCTCTTCATCGTCGAGATACAGCACACCTTTGAGGTACTCTTTCAGTTTACCTTTCCTCGACGATGAACACTTCTCATTCATGATGCAAAAGAAGCAACTCGGCTTTGCACACAATTGCTCAAGAGGCATTTCTATGTTTCCAAGAATCTTCTTACGATATGGGAATAGAAACAGACAAGTTTTGTAGTGACTATGCGAATTCCTTTATTTCTATTAGAGTTTTCGATCGAAAAAGACAAAATTTAATGAGTGGATTAGGCAGGTGGAGACCCTAAACGGCGCATGAGAAGACTTTGTGCAGTACTTTTAGAAATCCCAAAACCAATACAGCTTAATCTTTCAATACATTACGATATATGCAAGTCATGATCATCTTTGTTGTTCTGTGCTTATAATAATGGCAGTTTAACCATCTATTATTATTATTTTTTTAATCTGAATATTAAACACTAATGGATGGTAAAAATTTCAGGAGATCTTCATGCTTTCCTGCCTAATTAGCTTCCCTTTCGGTTACCTCAAATTAACCTTTTTTAGGCTTTCTTTATGGTAAAAGAGTAGCCTTTAAATGCAGCACAGTACTATAATATTTTCGTTGTCTTTTTCCACAAATGGAAAATTTTTTGTCTGGCTGCACTGTAAAAGTTTCACATCTTCATCATATATAATTTCTTTCATTTTTCTAGTATAATTATCTTTTATTTTTAATATAATTATATATTTTAATATTAATATAATTATTTTTTATATCATAATTATTTTGACTAATATACTTTTTTATTTATTTACTAATTATATAATATTTAAAAATTGGTATCAAACTAAAGTGAATAAATTAATTGGAACGAAAAATACTTTACATTACAGTAGGACAACTAGCCAAGTCCCTCTATGACCTAATTAGGGCACACATTGATACCAAGACCATAAATTTAATTTCACTCACAAAGATATTGCAGATAAATCATGAAGGGAAAATGAACAGAGTTTAAAAGGCCAAACATAACTTTTTTTTTAAAAAAAAAAAAAAAAGAATTTAGGATTTTCTTGAACAGAGTTTAAAAGGCCAAACATAAATTTTGAAAAAAATAGAAATTAGGGTTTTCTTCTTTGTCATTCAAGTTTGTTCTTTTTATGATTTCAAATTGAAATCAATACTATTTATTTTGTACATTTTTTAATAACAATATATTATTTTTTCTTATAAAATACTATTAAGACAAAAACTCAAATCGAACACCTTATTTTAAATCAATTTCGAATCACAAACCAAACAAAATATTTGCGGTTATGCTAAGCTCTTGTTTGTATTTTAAAAATGTTATAAAACGTTGATTAATTCAACATTAGGTGTATTTAATTATATAAATTTGAATGCTTAGAAAGTATCAAAATTAAACCCCAATACCTGAAAATTGCCACTCGATATCTAGTGTGTTTGTGGTCCCGTTTGGCTTTAGGACTCAGCAAATTAAAGTAGTAGTGTTTATTAGAGAATGTTGGATTAATTAAATAAGTAAGAACATAGAGCATATGAAGTATTTTTTTTTATTTAGTGTCGAGTACAGTATGGGGATGGTCTCAAGAGTGTCCAGCTGCCAATGTAAAATCTGCTTTTCCATCTCGTTAAAAGAAGTTTTCAATAAGATATTCAAACTGCAGTGACTAAGATCTATTAGCTCTGTTATTTTTGGATTTTTAAGTTGGTGAATTCTTAATATATGTGCATTTATATTTGACATATTTATTAACATCGATTCCACTACGGGGCTTATTACCATACTATTTTTTTCGAAAAACATAAATTGAAAGTCAGATAGTACCAATCTTTTGTGTACATATATATCATATTCCGTGAAATAAGAGTATGTGTTATTTATTTATTTTTAAAATTTGAACTCTATAAAAATATGTCTATTGAAGTATGTCGGATGTTCTATGAAATATATATTATGTTTTATAGAAGTATGTGTAGTTCTTTATAAAAATATACCGATTGTAAAAAGTGCTTCTTGGGGTATTGGAAATAAATGGGCAGCCAGAATTTTAAAAAATAAATAATTAATAGTAACTAAGGGTGCGTATCTTCCGGTGTTTGGACAGTAAAAACCCCAAAATTGGAGTTGTCCACAGTTTAACCGCCAGTTAATATTTTTTTTTCTTTTTTTTTAAAAAAATTAAAATATAATTTAATATTTATTATAATTATAGGGGAAAAAATATATATAATATATATATCATTTTGTGTAGAGAATAAAATTTTCTATAATCTAAATAAATAAAAATTTAAATATATCTATGTGGGTATAATATAAATTTATAATCAAATCATACAATATAAATTTTATCAATTAAATTTCATACACATTTATATTATTTTATTCATTATCCATCAAATTAATACACATCAAAACTCCCCAAACCTCAACCAAACCTAAACACAAAAGAAACATCAAAATTCAAACTCATTCCAAAATTCAAATAAAAATAAAACACGAACTCAAATTTTTTCAAACCACCCTAGAAAAACACACCCTAAGTCAAGGAAAACCCTAGTTTTCATAAAATAAGTTACTTCTCATGGTACTTTCAGCTAAGACATCTTGTTCTAAAGCAACCCTGTATTTGAAACTTCATCAAACTAAACAATGTGGGAAGAAAACAGTGTTAAAGTTGAAGGAGAGAGGAGACTTGCGGGAAAAATGCTCAAGGAAGGAAGAGAAAAGAGGATGTGAAAGCTTGTTTTGGTGTGTCTCTTGAAGAAGGAAAGTTGTCCCATTTATATGGTTCGATTCAGTTAGAGTGCTAATTTCTTAAAGAAATACTGATTAAAAATTCAAATAGTATTTATGCTTACATATTTTGTTAAATAAAAGTACGTTCTATTTGTTCATATTTAAAATGTATGCTATAAGAGTATATTATGTATTATTTTGCTATAGTTGTATTATATAAATAAAAATGATGTGCTTTTGTAGTAACATACTATTCAACACCGTACTGAATTTTAAATTCAACACCATAATCACCCCTATTTATGTGATAGCATTAGGGGTATCAAAATTGAATCAGATCTGAAAAATCGAACCCATTTGATTTAAAAAATTTTCAAGTTCGTGTTTGGAAGTTTTAGGTTTTAAAAATTCAAATCAACCCGAAACCGAAATAAAAAATTAGGTTGGATCAAGTCAGATTTCAAGTTGACTAGCTAACCTGAAACATATAAATCAAGTCACCAAATAATTTGAAACTCAAACCGGACATGATTTTTTAACTTGATTTTATAAATAGAATTATATTTTATTTATTTCAAATTATACCACCTACATCTGGTTCTAAGACCCACATTTATTTTTTGCATGTTGATAGTAATTATTATATCAAAACGTAGTACAAATCAAAGAAAAATGACAAAAATACTTATATTAGTATCTTATAATATTAATAGAATGACATTTATATAAAAATAATATACAAAACATAAATGTAACCCTAGAAGTTGACATAATGAATATTATATTACAATAAAATAATATGAAAAAAACTAAAATTATAAAAAAAAATAATACTAATAATTATAATAAACAAAAAGAATGAAATAAATAATTGGTATATTTTTATTTTCCGGTACTTTTCTCTTTAAGGTGTTGTTTTTTATGTTGTTGTTCCATTTTGAATCTATATTATATACTCCCTCCGTTCCAAAAGATTTGTCTTATTTTTTCTATTTTTGTTTGTCTCAAAAAAATTGTCTTGTTTCCTTATTTAGTAGCCGTGGTCCCCACTTTATAACAAAATTATTCCTACTTTTCAATACTACCCTTAATTATTACTCTAACATACTCTTTAAAATCCTTCAAAAAGCAAGAGTATTTTAGTCATTTATATATAACTTTATACCCACTTTCGATTAAATACTATTATTCCTTAATTTCCGTGCCAACTCTCAATAAGATACTTCTTTTGGGACGGAGGGAATATTATATATGTATAGTTATGATCTATATACTTTATTTGATATTATTTTTTTATAAAAGAATGTGGTTTGGTGATGTAGATGTGAATTTGTTGGGATGAGGTTATAGCTTCAAATTTCTAGTATTTCGAAATTTTAGATTTTTTTTTTTAATATTTTTTCTCTATTTAAAAATATTAAAAAAATATTTATATTTTATTAAGGGTACAAAATACTCCCTCAGTTTGACAATTATAACTTTGTTGAGAATGAAATTTAAGGAATAAATATATATTATATTGATAATTGGTAAAAATTATCAATACAAATTTTTTGCCCTTATAAGTGTATTAATATAAAAAATAGTGGCAGCCTAATAATGATGAAAAAATAGGGATAAGTTTATAGTGATATAAATATTTATGAAAATAAAATTATTGTTTTAGGACGGACAAAAATGGTAAACAAAACTATTGTATTAAAATGAAGGGAGTATTATTTATATATATATTTAGGGGCGTGTCAAGTTTTCCAAGTTTGTTCGGGTTAATGAATGACATAAAATAAAATTAGATTGACCTAAATTCGATTCGAAAAAATTTGTATGGTGTTCAAATTTAATATTTTAGGTTGAAAATCAAATTTAGATCACATTCGAGGTGACAGATTTTTTGTTATATCTACAATTAACTTGATACGAAAATTATCCAAAAATATGAATTAATATCCATAGATAGCATCAGAGGGCCGTCTTATAGCAAGACCAGGGAACTGCTTAAGCCGGAATTAAAAGAGGCCCATATTTTAAATTATTATTATTAAATTTTAAAATTAAATTTTATTTAGTTTATATATTTTTTTATTCGTAATTATCCTATTTAATTTTAAAACTAAATTTTATATTCTAATTATCTATATTTTTTTTTATCTTTTTCTTTCTAACCATGCCCCACTCTATCTTTTCAAATTTAATCATCGTCTACACTTCTTTACCTCACACTCTATCTACACTTTTTTACCTCACAACCTATCGTATTACGCCCATCAACTCAAACCAAACATGTCTCACATTCTTTCTTATTTCTTTCATCCTCCTTCAGTCCTTTTTGTTTTTCGAAATTTCGGACAGACCGTCTTTTATTTTCTTTTTCTCAAATTGACATTGTCCAGACGGTCACGTTCAACGTCAGTGATATTATTTTAAAAATACATTTTAAA